CATATTTTAAATTCTGTAGGTTTTTTAATAAACGTTGAGCGTGACGAATTTGGTATTAGGAGGCGTAAAGCCTCTCCTTTCGCGAATCCCGTATTCACGCCTTTAAGTGTATGACATGGAAAATAGTTCGTTTATTAAAAGGTAGCTGCCTCTTTGGAATGCGTTTGCATGTCAAGGGACGATTCCCCGTTAAATAACTCGCGAATTTGATATTATTCACATAGCCATTGGCTGTGTGTGTGTGTAACTGCTGTCAAATGAATAGATTCTCGGGCAAGACTGCAGTTTCGATTCTTTCTGAGTCTCTTCAATTGCCTCCTAACAACGAATTTGTCAAGGAGGAATAACAGGAGTCGCGCAGGCCCGCGAACACTTTTTAACTTTCGAAGGAACGGCAACAGATAGAATTTCCATTAAATTCCACGTTTATTCACGCTATCTTGCTGCTACCGGAGATGTTCACTCGACCACGACAGGATGCAAATGACTTTTTTGTCGTTTTACGACCATGATGCAACACAATCTGAGTGCGCACACCGCCAGATGTGCAATCAATCACGCCTATCAATTTATTAAATTTATTTGATTCATTTTGAACTGATCCTTGATCCAAGATCCGGTGATCCTCGATTCAGTTTTTCTAGGAAACCACTTTAGTCCGGTAATCTGCTCGCAAGATGAAATATCAAAGCGACCTTTTATTGACCAGCTAATTAAGGTCAGCTAATACAGTAGGTTGCTGAACAAAGAGAATCAATATTAATGGCGAGTCTTGTTGTTATCCCAACCCGATGACTGCGATGATGCTGTGCTATTATACATTTCATTTTCGCTAGGAATGATCATAAACTTACCAGGACGCCAGGACACTATGCCTTATGCTTCATGTCTGTTACCTCGATCCAATGGCGAGCAACAATAAGCGCTTGCAGCAAGCTTCGACGCGATTGTAGGGTGACCTTCAAGAATGTTCTAGAAGTAGCTGTGTCATGCTGAGTCATCCATGAATCAATATATAAATGGACTCTGTTGTAATGTTGCGGAACGTTCTAGATCCTCAACCGTACCTATAAAAGCTGAGCTTATAACTAGATGGAGAGAGTAGTTTAGTTGCTGGTATAGCCCGTCAGATATCAATAAAGGTGTATGCTGCAGAATACAAGACGTCCACAGTTCAGCGATAAAGTGTGTCGCCTGTCAAACTGGATTTCGTCACAGTCGGCTGGCTTCTTGTATTTATTTTTCATCGCGTGGTAACAGGTTATTTATTTACTGCAAATCGAGCGCCAAATCTTACTTCCAAAGATGAGAAAAGGGAGAAGAAGATCGCTAGACATGCTATCTAAACTCTTGCTGAAGGTTCTGGCACACCTGAGGCTTGATCCGCGCGTGTCTCCATGCCACTGATCTCTTGAGGGCGGGAACATAAGTCAGCGCAGGTGGGCAACCCTAAAAGCAAGAATGGTAGAACGGTAGAATGGTGGAACGGTGAAACGGAGGAATGGCGGAATGGCGGAATGGTGGATTGTAACTCTGATACGTTTCCTGGTCGTGTCTGCACTGATTTAATAAAACAACAATATACCATATGCTTGTAAATGTGTGCTTCTAAAAATATAACGACGTTCAGCCCCAGCTCCAAACTTAGTATAGCGTGCGAGCAGACCCTCGTTACGAGCCCTTCAATACGAGAGGCTCTTTGTCCACGAATAAGATTTAGGCCTTGAGTAACACGAAGTGAAGAGAGGTTTGCACGTCTCATGGCGTGAAAAGTCAAAAGAAAGTTAGCAAAAGGTAGCCGTCAAGAAGAATTTGAAGAATTTCTTCTCGAGCAGGTGTCCAAAACACCATCATCCTATTAAGAAGTTTACGGCTTAAATATCAGCGTAAGAAATGCAAATTACCCGAATTGGTGATATAGCCTTTTTCTTTTTCTCAGGAAGTTTATTTGTTCCGCTGGTATGGCTATGCTTTGCATAATACGATGACGGCTTAGTTGTCCAAAATTGACAGCGAGGAGATTAATTTTCACAGAATTACAATAGAAAGGTTATTTCAAACTTCTTTTGAGAGAATCGGTTGTTTGTTTAGAAATGTCAAGCGATTCCAATACTTCAGTTATTTGAGCTGTCGACACTTTGGAAACATTTCTGAGCGAGCGATCTTAGTGGTATTCGTCCAATGAAAGAAACCCTTGTATTTCTTGGCGTGAGGTTTTCTGTGAGGATTCGATGAATATTTTTTTCGGGTTTGTTAATAGTGTGACTGTATAGACTTGTGAGCCGATTTTATTTTACATGAAACCCGTTGGTTCTTTTATTGCGGGTTCTGATATCACGATTTCTTCCGTACGCGCTTGTGAAGGAATTATGGACCTATCAAGATCGCTTGCCTGTTGCCTATGAAAGCTCCTCTCCTGAACGAACGAGGATTGTTTTCAGTTGTGCCTTTACGTCCCAGAAAATGTAAAACGCGGCGCTCCTCTTGCAGTGATATATACAACAGTGATATATACAAAATGAACACAAACAAAATTAAAATGCGCCAAGCAAACTCTCTCACCCTCAGATTATGTCATTCTTAGATACATTTCATTTTTCATCACTACAATTGCGAGCAAAACCTCAACAGTGCAATGTTATAACAATAGCATAGCTCAACATCTAAATATAATATTCTTGTCTAACCTTAGTACCAGCAGGTAAAAAGGGTCTGAATGGGGTTAATCTACCAGCGACAAAGAGCGAAAAATATGGCTGACCAGCGACAGAAAACAAAACAGATCATCAGTTAGCGACAAGTAAATACTAGCCGATAACCGATACGGTCCAACATTACCGATATTTGTTTTCAGAAAGAAGAGCATTCTAGCTTAGGAGGCAGAGGCTTTTAATTGAAAAGCCGAAGTTGTGGAAAAACACATCTTTCATGACACTGACTAACAACTATACACACGCGATAATGAAACATAAGAAAACAAAAACTGACTATTTACGTGGTCTTCCTGTTTTTGTGTTTATTGTTAATAAATTAGGCCCTTTTAAGAAGTCATTTCATAAACTCAAGCTTCGTGTTTCATCAGGATTTCCAAACAGTTTTCTCGTGTCTGGAGACCCTGATGAAACACTCTCCCTCGCTTATGAAATAGTTCATATCCTACTTAAATAACACAATAGACTTTACATAACAAAGATATTGGACGAATACACTGAACCAACGGTCCAGTAATCAAGAATAAATTACAAACACGAATGAGTTTAAGATACAATCAAAACTGTCGATGGTGTGGGTGGGAGGGAAACTAAAACTTTCTTAAAGCTAGAAATAAACTTGTTACTTGCTTGCTTGCTAGATTACTTATAACACATGCACAGATACCTAAGCGGTAATACTAAAGTAATTTTGCGATTAAAACGCGTTAGCGTGGTGAATAGTCATTGGCTCTACCCAAGTCTTATGACTTATATGCTGAACAAATTTGCTCAATCTTACGGAAAAAGGAAAATACTTATTTGCACCCTGCCTGTATCCAGTCTAGGCCTCTCAGTTATTGATGTCTAGATTCATATTAATAGAGATTAATATTCACTCTTAAGCCTACTTTATGGCTTTGTAACAGCGCGGGCTCATTTTCAGAACAGTGTCCAGTTACTTAGCGGTTAGAGATCATAAACTGGTATATTATCTCTTGCTAACGAACACCGTGATGATTCGATTAAACGCCGCCACGTTTACTGAATTTTTCGTGATTCGAGTGCAGCGTTTATTCAAAATCCAATTTATTATTTGCAAACAATACTTTGGTAACTGAGCATTGTAATTAAAAGAAAAAAGAAACAGAAACATGTTGCTTGTCTAAAAGTCATTTTTCATATTGTTCTCAATTTCACAATTTGCATGTTGATCAGTACTGCAGTACACAAAGTGATTAAAGTTCTAATGTCGGATATGCCTTCTCGACATCATAACTGGTAAAAAAGGATTTGAGTCTGGTTCACTCAAACTGCGATCGACGCAATGATCACTGTGTGATTTTTGAGTCTGATTCGTACAAACGCATCAGGATGCGGCGTTTATTCGAGGGCGGCGTTTAATCGAAGAAATACGGTATGAACAATTATTTGCACTTTTAATAACTAACTGAGATTTATTGACCTCTGATCACGGTCAAAAAAAAAAAAAAAAAAAAAAAACCGACTACCGACAAAGTAATGAAAATCTAACCTCAGAAAGATTTGACGTGTAAACTTGAGTGTTTTTCAAGATCTGGGGGTAAATGGCTTAATCAAAATAACAAATAATTCTGCGTCAATAAAAAACTTGTAGTCAGTTTCCACAGTATGACCGCAAGTGGATAATTACAGCAGCATCAATTTATACATTATACAATACCAGTTGTTTAATAATAAATTTGGTGTTATTCTAGGTGGAAAATCACGATGGTGTTACTTTCATGTTTCAACCTTGTGAAGTGTTCCATGGATAGTTACAGAATTTGCCTCATATAAGCTAATATGGGAGAAGCCTCCCACATCAAAAAGCCAATTTATAGTAATTTTTTCATTTGCCTAGGGAAAAATTTTGCACTTGGCATTCTCTTGAGTCTTGCCACTGCTAGCTTTCGTGTTCTTTGTTCCTATTGATTGGTCTTGAGCATGAGCAGCAGTGAAAAATAATTATCATGAATATTGTAAACACTGCTCTTATATTACTTTTCTTCAATAGACAGCAAAAGTCTCGAATTAAATGAAAACTAAAGACCATTCCTCTTGCTCAAACTAAAGCTGTTGAGATGTATCTTCTGTCGCCTGATTTATGCACGAACAACTTTCAGAAGTTGACTGAAAAATGCCTTCCCCTCTGTCCCCACCCTAACAAACACTGAAAAAAGAGAAAACAAAACGAGTCCAATATTTAACCACTGACTCAAAGTCATTTAATCCGGCAAGCCAAATATTCTCACCCACGTGATCAATGTTATCTTTATTCATGTATCTGCTTGGTTTGTCAGGCCTTTCAAGGGAAAAGAAACTACAAGGAATTAATTACTCTTCTTTTGAAAATTCTGGTCGATTTATATGTCTACTGAGCGTATTCCACCGAACTTTCGATGTTGATGATCGATAACATCTATCAAAATGGTAATGTTTTCCTTAGCACTGTCCGCGTCATGGATGGGTGGATGCGCGACGGCTTAGCGGCATTCTAACAATCCTTCCAGTGTTATTTTCATTTCCGCGGTGTATGGAAGTTCACCATCTCTCTGGTCTCACCGGTCAATTTTAGAGGTCGTATGATCGCAACAGGTAAAACAAACGATTTACCTAAGCACTGAACCTGTTGCTGGCAATTTCAAAAGATAATGAAACGGACACGTATGGTTAGGCTGTACACACTGTCACTCTTCCATTGCTGGGTGTCAGTTGTGACTTCTGCGATCGTTAACACGACATTTGGTCCCATTAACGGATCTGTGGTATCGCTGCAAACGAACAAAACTGTTACAAAGTACTTAGGCATTCCATATGCCAGGGCAGAACGTTTTGAATATCCAGTGCCACTGGAGAGATGGAACACTCTCCTTCAAGCGAACAAGATCGACAAGATTTGCCCACAACTAAATCTTCCGCCGCATAAAAAACGTCTTGTCGATGAGAATTGTCTTTTACTCAATGTATATGTCCCTGCTAACGTATCACAACATTCTTCTCTCTCTGTGATGTTTTGGATCCACGGAGGTGCCTTCTCTTTGGGTGATACACTCGCTTACGACGGCAGCGTTTTGGCAACTGAAGGTAACGTGATCGTTGTCACGGTCGGCTATCGTTTGGGTGTTTTGGGATTTTTGAGTGCAAACGACGACAATCTAAAAGGCAACTACGGTCTAATGGACCAGCTAGAGGCCTTAAAGTGGGTTAACCAAAATATTGCAAGGTAGGAATGTGATATTTGTTATTTATTTTTTTCCTCATATCGGTATGTATAGTATTATGCAAATTGTTTACCGTTTGGTGCGCCAAAACCCTATTTATCCCTGTGATCAAAAAACTATGGATTGTTGGTAAGGCGTGGGGACTTTGGACTTAAATCACAGCGAAACTTTAATAATCGTAATTCTGATGCTATGCTGGGATAATTTCCAAGTTACGACATTTTGGGAATCAAACAAATTAATCATATTTCTTAATTTGAAGAGTAACTGAAGCGGATTAAGTACTTTCGTGACCTATCATGTGACGAGTGTTATGATTGCGGTTTGAGGGCAGTCTTTAATTGTATCCAGGTGTCCATCGGAGATGTATACTTTCGGCATTTACGGCTCTTCGTAGTTCGGACATAAAAGTAACTGCGCCTTAGAAGAATGGATTGAACGGCTTCTAAGACTTAAATGAAAAAAAATTATTTTGATATGATTACTAACAAGAACCAACAGAATATAAAATGTTTACGCGCGATAGCTATATCACATTCAAAACAACAAAGTACTTCCTAAAACCGTAGAGTACCTGGTAAGGGAGAAAGGATTTGTTACTTGCAGGTAGGGGCTGAGCAAGGAGGTTGTAATAGGTAACCACCACCTCTAAGGTTCACTACTTTGCGGGAGAAGGAGGGGGGGGTACTATTGTTAAAACTGTGCGGTTCAAACTGACTACAGGAAAGCAAAAAGTCAGCTTCTGTGAACGTTCGTCCACGAACATATGAGGTGGTGAATCATACCTCAATAAACTAATCAAACTAAAATCTGAGCATGAATATGTTTGATCAATCAGGTTTGGAGGAGATCCAAACAAAGTTACCTTATTTGGTGGTTCAGCTGGAGGAACATGTGTGTCGTTATTAATGTTATCGCCAATGGCTCATGGTCTGTATCAGAACATCATCATGCAGAGTGGAAATCCCGCCTCTCTTTCATCGGCGATGACCAAAAACGAGGCTTACCGAAGGGCAAGGTACTAGAACTGTCACAGTTAAAGGTTTGAGCCAATAAAAACACTTGAAACGGTAATAACCACTAAACGAAAGTTTTCGGCACCAGTGACTGACCTCACGACAACCCTAATGGAGGTTATTATTTTATTGTAATAAAATGACACGTTGGTCACCACCCTAAGGCGGTTATGAGTTTAGTTCTTTATTAGGAAATACTCAACTGCCTCACACCCCCCTCCCTCCCTCCTCTTTCCCCCCCTGCACTCTTAATTTCCCATGAGATGCTGGATTGTAACCCCATTCCTTCCCTTATGGTTGAAAACTCACGCCCCCACCCCAACAGAATGCCAAATTCATGAACAATGCCCATATATTCCACTTTTCTTCTAGGAGCTTCGCTAATGCCGTTGGCTGTGATGTGGATTCCCTAAAATTGTGTGCGAAGACGAAAAGTGTTCAGCAATTGATGGATGCCCAAATAAAAGTCTTTTCAACCCCAATTTTGTTACCCTTCGGACCGGTGGTGGATGGATTTTTCTTACCAGGTATTTGATGCTGGTGTTAAAGTCAACTTTGAGTGTTCCCACAAACAAAACAACATCTAAAAAGTCTATACAATTCATGTCACAGGCGATATTTAAAAGACGTAATAAGTTATGTTATCACTCATGTACAGATTTACCAGCCAAATTGCTTCAAGCCGGCAAGTTCAACAAGACTAATATCATTGCTGGAGTGGCCCAAGATGACGGCTCAATTTTTGTCACTGGTGCGCCTGGTGGGTATTCAGATCTCCTCAAACTTTCATACCATATTTTGATATTGCATTTAGTTTTTAGAATCACCTTCTTCCTGGCTGCACCAGTAATGAAGAAGGTTGAAAAAGGCATGTTTATTAGTAAGAACCTGTTCATGAGAACTCAGTAATCAGGCTGGCCCTTTATCGAAGTGAATTTTGCCTCTGGTTCTAACTGGAGAGTTCATCCCGGGTATTCATATCTGAAACATCAACCCGCCTAACAAGATGATCAAAGCAGTTAGACTTCCGTTTTCCGGTATCCAGCTGGACTAGGATGTTTATGTGGGAAAATATTCTAGCTTCTTAATTTATTTATTCATTATTTATGACTTCATTTATTTATTTTATGGTATTTATTTTGATTTTCACCATTTTTTCTACATTAGAAAGAGTGTGAAGGTAAGAGTTCAGATATTGAGCTAGCCTGCCAATAAGAAGTAGTTTAGCCACTGTGCTCTGTCTTATAACTGTTTACCTGCTTGTACTTTGACTATCGTAGGCCACATGCGACCTTTATTAGTCAATACTAAGCACACTTATCGCTATAAAAAAAATCGACATACAAAGAAATTAGACAAAAAAAACGGAGCACATAAGTATGGCTTAGGTGCAATTTTTTCTGTTAACATGTTTTATTAATTTAAAGGTGTTCTGAAAGGTCTTGAAGTTACGAACGGAATGTCAAGAGCTCAATTTGAAGAAACGATACGCAACTGGACTTGGGTTCGTAATCAAAACTCTCAAATCTTGGATTTGCTAATCTACCAGTACACTGACTGGTCGAATGCTTCTGATCCTTATGTGATAAGACAGCAGTTCATTGACATTAACTCAGACGCAACATTTAAAGCTCCGCTATTAAAAGCAGTCAAGGCATTCACAAAGAAACAGGCACCCACCTACTTTTATCAACTTGAAAAAGTACCAAAAACATTTCCCGCGATCCCGTTCCCGCTTCCTGCGTGGCTTGGAGTGTATCATCGCGCCGATGTCTTATACACATTTGGAGAGCCTCTTGTTATGACCGAGAATCTTACGTCTCCTGACGACATACAACTGAGTAAAGATATCATGACCTTTTGGACTAATTTTGCTAAAACAGGGTAAGTCAGAACAAGTCACTGGGTATTAAAAAGATTGAAAAGCCCCATTTTAGGGATGACTTATTACCAGGTGTTGGAAATTTTATTTTTAGAAACCATAGACCATGCAAGATTGGTATCCAGAATAGTTAATTATACAACTCACCGCAATACATTATTTGCGTTGCCTCTGACCAGTGATGCAAAGGGAATTTTGTTTTTTATGGTTTCAGTCCAACAGCAACCACACAGGGAAAAAAAAAGCTTTCGATCAGTCTCCAAGTAACTAATCTCTAATCAGGAAAGGCTTCTGGCTCGTGTTTTTTCTTTCTTGTTTTGTGTTTTTCTTTTTTTCCGTTTGCTAGCTTGCGCTTATCTCATATGTGGCTGACCAAACCAATCTCAGAATATTTCAAAGGGAACTGAAAAACTAATACTCCTATCCCTGTTTGCTGTTTTTTTTTTTTTTCGTGAAGTGGTGTTTTATTCCAACTAAATTCCCTGCGTCTAAACAATTTTCTTGTTCACCAATGATACTGCTTAACACACTAGGAACCCTAATAAGCCAACGCCACTGGCAGAAGCTTGGCCCCAGTTTACAACAGACCAAGAAGAATATATGGGACTAGGTTCCACTTTGACACTTCGGTTCAAAATGCGTCAAGAGAAAATGGCGCTATGGAATGAGCTTCTACCAAGTCTTCAAGAAATAGCTAGGCCATCCACAGCTAGTCACATTCCGACAATATCAGAAAAACAAGAGGATGGGAAAGGTGTGTGCAAAACAATATTTTCAGTATTTTTAGAGGTTATTCATTCTAAAAAGATGGAGGAGAAAGATATCATATGTATCTCAGTTCAACAAAGTCTCCAAAAAGGTAGAGTTTATATATTATATATATATATATATACACATACATACATATATATATATATATATTAATATATCATATTGAATATATATCAGTTGATAAGAAGTCACACCAACCAGGCAAAAAAAATGTTAACATAGATAAGCTGTTTTAGTTCTGATCTCATGCGAGTTCAGTTGATGTGAATTGATTTTTTATTACTGGAATTCTTTCCGCGCCCTGAAGGCAAGATGAAGAGAGACCCTGGGCACAAGGTTGGATAGATGCCATGTGGCGGTGAGCATAACTGGCACACTAGCTCAGGATTGAGAGATCCGGGCTCAACCCGTAGTGGTCATCGGGATGTGCCCTTTATCAATACACAAAACCTTCAGAGTGTTTTTCTCTACCCAGGAGTGTACATTGTTACTGACAAATTGATGAGGAAAATTTTCTGGCTTGGGGTTACCAGCATTGGAAGAACGCTCCGTCCACCAGGAGTGGCAGTGCCCTAAGTCACTTTTGGATATGGCGTATAGCAGGAGAGGTTTCGAGAGATTCATGAGGCTCCTGTGAAAATTAACCTATTTGATCTTTGAATTCCAGATACACTGCTGCTTGTCCTGGCCACCCTAACTGGAGTATTTGGTGCTGTAGCTGTGATTTTGTTTGTTGTATTGGTGATCAACTGCAACAAGCGGAAAAGACGAGGACATGACTTTGAGGAACCATTAAATATGTAACTTACCTTCATAACTAGCTTAGAAACTTAATTTGCCATACTATTGCACCTAAAGCTTTCCTTTAACTCGCTTTCTTCAAATTTATATACTAAGGGTGATCCCGTGACCCACTCCAAGGGTAAGGTTAATTTTCTCTCTTAGACCCGGTACTGGGGATCCCAGGAGAATCAAGAAATGACCAGTTCTGAATTTTCTCACGTGGAAACCACTCGTAGATTGTATGGTTGTTCGTAGAAGAACTAAAAAAGGAAAAAGAAGTTAGAGAAACGAGCAAACAGCATGTAACATTGATCCCGGGAAATTACACGAATCATTTTGAGTGTACAAAATAACTTTAGAAGGATACATTAAAAACAGACCATCTGAGCCAAACAAGGGTCGAAGCTAGCTGCTCTCATTGTTCTTTCATTGCTTTGCGAAAGTTCAAAGTGAGGCCTTTATTTACAAAGCTGCTGAGCATAACTTACTCTTCTCGAATTTTTTGTTTTTTTTTCCCGTCCTTTTTCCCTAAGGGGTCCTCTTCTACCAAACAAAGTAAAACTTAGAAACGCGTTTTCCTTGAAATCCTGTTCCTTTAATGGTCTATTTCCGCAGTATCTCTCTTATTTCTTGAGAAATTTTTGAAATATGCCCCTAGAGAAACTAAGACGGGCAATTGAGACGAGGCTTTTTCAAGAAAGGTAAACACAGAAGAAGTCCTCCATTTCTCAAATATAGGGTGGCAACATTCGAACTCTCTCGAGAATGTCAATATCACTTATTTTAGATGTTGAAAGGTAAAACATATAACATTTAAACTTTTTCTCCGAGCAAGCCAATTCGTCTGGTAAACGCTGCTGATCAAGGCACAGGACACGTTCAAAATAACAACAGAAAGCAATCAATTTGGGACATTTTTATATATTTTTTATATATTTTCTATTAAGGTAAATTTTATCATGAGCTCGTTTTCTCCACATCTATTTTGGTAAGAATGATATTTTCACATTGACCGCTGAAGAGAAATGTTGATTTTACTAATGGTCGTTTGTTGTCTTATTGGACTGATTGGGCCAATTCATTGCTCATCCCCTAATGCTATATAATCAACAAATTACCCTAGGATAAAGATAAGAATTTTAATTTTATTTTGTCATATAATGAAATAGAAAGAAGAGTAAAATTCGAAGGAAAATCCCTTTTTTCACTCAACAAATCAATAGCTTTATTTTTCTGGTCACTGTCTTCATTGTTTTGCTACACAATGGTAGCGCTATGTTTCATTAGGTTCTAAGTGTTAAGATCATATTCCGACCTTTGCTTGTTCTACCTGCCAATAACCTCGAGAGAATTCCCGGCTCCCTTTGAATTATTAAAAAGACCGCGTGTAGCTGCTTGCTGTTTCACTTTGTGACGTCAGAGCAGGTAATACGTCTTTGAAAACATCGCTTCAAATAAAAATTTCTTTACAGTCAACTCCGACAAGAAAAGGAATAGAAAGAAAAAAAAAAGATCGTCCTGTTAATTTTTGCTTATTTATCCTTTCCAAAAATGGTGCTGTACAATTTCTGGATCATGGATTTTTCGGTAAGCGCATTGATTTTTTTCAGCGCGATATACGGCGAAAAGATGCGACGAAATGGACAATGGACAAGCGCCCCAAAGAACGAACTAAAAGATAATCGTGAGAACTCCGCATCTCTTGAACACGAAGGTAAAGGAGCGGAGTTAAGGCTACCACAGTATTTGCTTTTTACTTTTACGTATTTCGCAGCCATGGGTTTAACTGTTGTCATTCTCCAGTATTATCCGTCTGTTATGATCATTTTACAACATGTCGCCGTCGTTTGTTTTATTATGATCGCATTCGCCCAATGGTTGCCATTGAAGATCGGTTATTTACTTGGCATTTTATTCGGTGTGATTTGGTTATTATCGGTGGAGACCCAGTTTCGTTGGATCATTAACAATGTGATCATTACCATGTTTGCCTTTCTGGCCAGCCACGTCCAGTTCAGAAACTTTGCCTTTCTGCAGATTTTTTTGTGGACTGCTCTCGTATACGACGTTTGCCTACTTGCACGTATGAACGAAACTCCCCAGGTCCTAAGCATTGGAGAATGTGGCAATCTTCTCTGTCAGTTATTCGAAATAAACAGTGCGTGGGAGCTGCCTTCAGTGTTCACAGTGCGGTTTGGAGAGAATCAAACGCACGTTTTTCTTGGAACAGGAGACATAATTATTGGTGCCATTGTCGCAAACTTTGCCATGTCGTTTTTCAAGTCCCCCAGATGTCTCCTTGGAGTGGTAGCAAGTTATTCAACAGCGATCGGCTTTCTAAGTCAAGTGGACACCAACAAGCCATACCCGGCACTGATCTCTATCGTCCCTGTATGCTCAGCTTCTTTGGTGTGTTGCGCCATTTTGTGTAGGAAAACGAAACGGCTGTTTTCCTTGTCGAGCAAAGAAAGCTCCGAATTTCCCTCGGACGAAGTTTTGTTGATTTAGATTAAAATGTTTTACAGTGGAAAGTGGAATTGATATTTCTGTTATTGTTATAGTTACGCCGCCTTTGAAATTTAAGAAACTAGGTGCGGTTCTGATAAGTAAAGGCGGCGAATTCCACGTATTATACAATACGATTAGAAAAACTGAAACTCTAAAGTTTTTTTTAGGCATAGTTTTGCTTTAGAGTGTGAGGTTCCAAGATAATATATGATCAGTTGTTGAGCCAAGCTAGATCAGAAAACTCAGATATAACTTCAAATGTGCTACCGTCAAGTTGTAAAATGGTAGTAGTAAGAGAAGGTATTTTTTCGTAATGCGCAAAAGATGAAGATCAAATTAAATGAAGGTGATTATGAAATACGTTTGGCTACCTCCATACCATCATTTCAACTAGTTTTACATCTTTTAACAGCATTGTAATTTCTGTACTGAGTAATATTGAGAGGAGCTACAGACTTGATATCAGTTTGATGGCTGCAAGCAAGTGTAACCTTGTGTAACCTTTTGTGGGTAATTCAGTATTAACAACTGAGTTGAAAACGTAAATTGGCCACCGTAAAGTGTTAAAAGCTGGGGTCAGAGCTCTGACGAAGGGCTAGCGCTCGAAACGTCAGCCTTTTAACTCTTACGGTGGCCAATTTTTGTTTTCAACTCAGTTGTTAACACTAAATCACTTGCTACACTCTCCCACCGACGTAGCACCACAGTTTCATTAGAAACTTAGCCCCTGTAACCTTTTCTGCTTCATGAAAAAAAGTTATATATGTCCAATAGCAATTAACCTTTCAGTCTTTCAAAATTCAAACGTAAAATGAACACCGCTATAGACTCAGATCACGTGGCAGAGGTCTATGCGAAGCTCTCGGTCAGAAGAGAAGGAGAGGGCAAGAGTCTAAGCGCGGCGGATGCCCGGATATCGATCAGACGGCGGTCTAGCTCTTTTTCACGTCTCGTCGCTTTTTCTCTTTAACTGAACTGACCGACAGCATGGCTGACTGGGCAAGTTAAAAATTAAGGTTTATTTAGAAACAAAAAAATGAAACAAAAGATTAAAGTAGATTTAAATACGCAGTTATGTGTTTCCAGTGTTTTTCTCGTCCTTGGACTGAAAAAAATAATACCCAGTTCCCTAGTCTCATTCTTTTTTCGATCTCAACTATTCGTTGGAACTGGTAACGAAGTTGGCAACCAAAATGGCGTCGGCGCGGTTTCCATGAACTTCTCAGTTTGTTTACCACAATTTGTCACTTTGTAAGCCATAGCTGAAATTGCCTTTGGGGTCAGATCTCCTGGTGCGAATCTCTAGAAATGTATGAAGTGGTAGTGAGTATGTATGTTGAGCAGCAGTGGCGAAGTTTTCCTCGACGTTTGCGGTGAAACTTGCACAAACATAAATTAACGGATAATCTTCAAACGGTTGTTTGATATTGATCGATACTAAGATCAGTATGGATAAATTTCATCGGAACAAGACAGCAATTCGCATAAAAATCATCAGCATGGGAAACGCTGAAACGGGAAAGGTTAGTCGCGATAAAGTTGATTGCTTACTTGGTTCTCGAGCAAGTTAGAGCCTGTAGTTTCTAAGTTTACGTTTTTACCAGTTTGACATTAGCGGCAAACGCGGGGTAACGATTTATAAAACATAAGGGAGATCAAGCTTAATTTTTTGTGTGTATGTTTTTCTCTAGTTTCCAACAGTGTTCGTGCACATGTACATATACGTGTAGTGGACTTGTTCGTCATTTGAATTGATTGGAAGTATACCGGTAATTCACATTTCAAATTACATGTGTACGCTATTAAAATGTTACAGATAACTGAACGTTTAATCGTTTGTCTTCGATGTAAGAGTCAGGCTAATCAGATGTATTAATCAGCCTCACGAGACAAACGATTGAACTTCCATATATCTGTGAAACCTCGATGGACATGCAAAAACATTTTCTATGAAATGTTCAGCTTACAAGATCTTCCTAGAGTGTTTATCCTTGAACTCAACTAGTAATAAGAGTAAATTGTTTCACACATCACCATTACTACCATTGTTAGATGAGAAAATGCATACTTTACTCTGCAATCTTCAATGTAAATTTGATGAACTTTGCAGATACATTGTATTTACTCAAACAGCTTAGATTTCCATTTACAATATCTGTATTGCATGTGGACATTGGATCAAGTAAAGTTCTGTGCTCAACATTTATGTCATTTTTAAGCACTAGAGTTGACTGGTTAAATCTTAATCATTTTCAAGACCTTCTTTTGACTCTCAGGGTTAGCAGCAGCAGTTGTAGCTGCTAGTGAAAATCCCCATTACATGCTTCATCTTGTTTTTGTGATTGTCTGTGTAGTATTCCTCTTATCCCTCATACAAAATATGCCAATATAGAAAATACTTCTACAATTTGTCTTTGGAGCAATCACTATGGCTAGCGTTCATTTTTGGAGTTTTGCATGCCATCTGTAGGGCTTAATGATTGGGAAACCAAGAAAAAAATCAAGAAATTGTTTTTGAAGAAAATTTTGGAACTTGAGTTAAATTTTATGAGTTAAAAAATGTTTGTCACACATTTACTTCAAACCATAAAACTTAATTTTCAAAAAAGTTATGTCCTGCTGAATCACCATACTTAACACAGGTCTCCAAATTGGCAACTTCCACTGCACATTATAATGTACCGAAAATTCTTTACCATTTGTCCTGGGGATATGAAAACAGTTACAGCTGAAAATGTTGCACAAAATAGACATCAAGGGAAAAGGAAAAAAGCATACATATAAGTAGATGAAAATGAGAACTGTGTACCTGACAATTATCTGTAATGCAATCTCTTTATATTCACTTGTTAGAGTTGTATCATCAAGAGGTACTGTGAGAAGAGGTTTGTGAGCAAGTACATGACAACAATAGGGATTGACTATGGTGTGACAAAGTGAGTTTACCTCATTGTCATTTATGTTATTTAAATGGTGGCAGTTGTAAATTTCCCCGGCTCATTGTCATTTTTAGGGTGATAAAGGGGTACATCTGTTTAGTTGGTGAAAATTATTAGGTTGCTATTATTGTGTTTGGGTTTCTTAGACCAACAAATTTGTGCCTTTATTAATTGATTGTTCCCTGGTAAAGGACTTTCCTCAATCCCTTGATAGTGGCAGTCCTATCTTAATAAAGTTGGTACTTTGGAGTGTTTTAGATTTTTGCATGATCCAGTCAGCATGCATGTCACGTGCAAGCCTTTTTACATGCCAATTGGTGCACTCATTTTTTTTTTGCATGAGTCACAGGCAGACTGCATATGGAGTGTGCCATATGGCATGTTGTTCGAAATAGGACCCAACAAAAGCCATGTCATTTCTACTCTTGGGATAAAGATAATAGAAAAGTGTAATGTAAAATTTCTCAATTCTGATCTAAGGGTTTCCATAACCAAGTATGCTGACTGATAAGAATTCTATTGCTACATCACACTGTATATGGCATTTTTTTAAAATCTGGTTATTATGCTCCAAATTCTTTTCTACTTAGGGTGTCAATAAATGACAAGGATGTTAAAGTGAACATATTTGACATGGCTGGTCACCCTGTGTTCTATGAGGTAGACTATTTTTTAATTTTGTAGGCGTTTACTTTTAGTATGTGCATGGACTATTTAAAGAAATGGACTGGAAAATATGGAATTCATTGTACCTTGCTCCTTCTTTTAAAATGTTTTGATCTAAAAAGTTACTGACTTTCATCATGGGAACTAATGTTTCTGTTGTTGCTTGATTGTCATTTTAATTCATTGCATCATGAATATTTAGGTTCGCAATGAATTCTATAAGGATACACAGGGTGCCATGCTTGTTTACGATGTTGGTAACAGAGACAGTTTTGATGCATTGGACAGCTGGGTGGATGAAATTAAAAAAGATATTGGTAATGCTGCTGACTTTGAAGGGGTTACATTTGCTGTTTGTGCTAACAAGGTGAGGCAGAAAACTTGTTGATGGGTCATCACATTCTTTTTTTTTTTCTGAGATAATATTACTGAGTGGATTTATCTGGTCTGCATTAAACTTCCTTAAAGAGACATCCTGAACATTTTCTTCAAATGCCTGTTGTGTAAAAACTTGTACACAGCCCCTCTTTAACCCTTTCACTTCCTAGAAATCATTAGCAATTCTTATTAATAACAATAATAATAGTTAATATTTTAGTACTTATAATGCTCAATTTTAACATGTTATTATAGTCTTGAAGATGTGCATGCCATACAATTCCTATGATGTTGGTTCCCACAATTTGATATTGGATCAACTCATGGTCCCCTACTTGATATTTTTCTTTACTCTCATCACTTATCTGCTTGATATTGTTGTTATTGATATTGTAAGGAGAATTTCTTTCTTGGTCACTCTTTGGAGTTAAAGAGTAAAGGGATTAAAGCAGGTAATACTGGTGTGATTCACTGAGAGACTGATGAGTTAAAAAGGATATACTGTTCTTATAGATTGATAGCAAGAAGAGAGCGGTGGATGAAACCGAAGGCCAACTGTGGGCCAACAGTCATGGATTTCAATACTTTGAGACATCTGCCCAGACTGGTGAGGGAATCAATGATATGTTTCAGGTATGGAATATCATGCAACATTAACGTTTACTTAGTATACACTTTTATTATCAATAACAGGAGGTCTGGTCGATGAGAAAAAGATTTGTTACATGCAATTGCTGTTATCAGTGCTTGTGCAGATTTGCAAGTTATGTACAGTACATGATTGTAGATGTAAGTCACAATCAGAGTGGCTGGTTCAGAGTATTCAAGGAAGAGCAGGTGGCAAATGAATTCCATCTCCTCTGATTGAGAAATAACCTTGGAGTTAGCTTGCATAACAGGGGTCTTTTCTGGTGAGTGAGAGCTTAGTATTCTGACTGAGTGCTGAAGCAGCCTTATTGGATCCGTCAGATTAAGGAAAGTCTGCAGCAGATAAACCAGTAAGGCAAGGGTAGGGGGAGGGGAGGAGTCCAGAGGGAAATTGAACAATTTTATTTCTCTCCCCCCCCCCCAACACAAGCGTTTGTCAGTTTTACCCTAAGTAATGTGGTAACTTTTACCCCCTACCCCACTAGGAGAGAAGGAGGGTTCATGTATCCTATTCCCTAAGGGCAATTAGCTAAAGACTAACTGATGTGAGGGGCTTTCTAAAAAGTTCTCTATGGCAAAAATTAAGCTCTAAAAAGTCACATAATGCGACAAAAGTTGTAGGAAAATCAATGAGCTCTTTAATTCTAGTAAGAAAAATGTAAAATCTGTTCACAACAATAATGAAATAAACTTGATTTGTGAACATTTGTCACAGTCCCATGTCAAGCAAGACGTTTTCTTCCACATTAGATATACTATTCACAATCAATATTTACATTCAAGAAGTCAAAAACTGCAAAATATAATAACAATAATTGTCTTATTCATTTCATATATACAGAAAGCTGGGTTCCTAAGGGCGAATTGACAAAGTGAAAACACAAAACATTTCGATTGCAAAAATTCAAATTTCGTGCCATTCTTACAAATCGGACTCCGAGTGATTTTGAAAGCAATCCAAGCAGAAATGTTTCCCGCAAGAGATGCAAGGCAATCTGCAAAGATTCGTTCGCTTTCATTTCAAACAAGGTTTGAAGCGTTCCTTAGAGGTTTATAAAGAACAGGGTTCACCAAGCGTTCTGCCGATTCTCTGAATGAACAGCAACTAATTCCGTCTTCGCCAACTGTATCTGAAACTGCAGCTGAGGCCTAGAGCGGTGATTTCTTGCTTCGGTTTCCAAAATGTGTGCATTCACGATGCTAACATCGACTAGCAACCAAAGCAAATATCGCTACCACTTTTGAGACTTGCGGCCCTTGGCATAGCTGATCATCCAAGTCGACACCTCCCATGTTTTGGTGGTATGAAATGGCGGCAGGGACAGTGGAAACTTGAACGAAGGTTCCATTGTTTTGCTTTCTGCTGGCTGTTTGGTTGCCAACTGAATTTGACAGGGTGCTCAAAAAGCAAACTAGTTTTGGTCTTTCCAAGCTGATGCAACATAGTCGCCACGGCTACAAAATTTCGATTTGCCTTTTCGTAAGGTTTAACACAGCAGCATTTTGCGGCGACACACCATTCTGGAAGCCTCGGCGATTTAAGCAAATTGTTTCGCAAATACATGTTTCGTCTCTCAGTAAATCACAAACAAGTTTGAGAGATGTAAAAGAATTGTCACGGAAAATGCGGCGACTTTGCTAAGCTCTCGCAGAACGCGATAGCCAAATCCGTGCCCTGTTACTCCGCCATCTTGACGCTTCGGGAACTTGTGAAGTGCATACGTTACCATTCGAAGAACCAGCGCTTTCCCAAACTTTTGTTCCTGTCTTTATTGGCTTAGATGGAACGTACTATTTTTTTTGCTAGCGAAATACATGCCTTGGTTCTACTAACCTTTTCTGAGTTCGGTTACAATTTCTTTTTATTTTTGATTCGATCATTAACTATGTACAGTACATGACTTGAATAATTCCTTGTGTGCCTGAACTCTACAAGACAGTCGAACCTTTTTGCAGAGTCATCAGCCAAAATCTCCTAAATTTAGTCAAGTTAACTCTGATTCTTACTCATCGAAACCCTTTCGTTAATCATTGCATGAACAAATGCATATTCATGAAGAGGAGGACTCAATAATTGAAGTCACCTTTTTTCATTTTTACATTCACTTGCTTTGTAATAACTCTTTTTGTAACTATATGAGCTCTTGGAACTTTCATGAGTGTTGAATAATTAACACTAACAACATCTGTCACTTGTTCCAGACCCTCTTTCAATCAGTATTGGCAACGATTGAAAATGGTGGTAAACCAGTTCAGGTCAATGCCTCTACAACTCTGGGTTACACCAAAGAACAGGCAGAGGCTATCCACAGGTTGAAATCAGCCAAAGATAACTACGAGAGACTGGGGCTGACAGCCGGAGCGACCAGGTACGATGAGTAACATTAATCGTCTTCAATTATTGCCTTGGTTTTATTGTCACCTCAAGTAAAAATGAGTAACAACATACGACATCGCATATTTTTGTAACTGAAGAAGTAATAAAATGAAGTCTACATGTGTCCTGAAATAAACAACAAAATAATATGATTAAATCTGCAGACTTGCACCGTTCATGCAGTGGTCGAATGATCAACAGTTATTTTCATAAACTTATAAACTTTTCTTGTCAGTTTGTTTTCGTCTTCATCAACAGCTCGAGCTATTACTTTACTGAAAGCTTAAATTTCTTAATTTTAACTGTTGTCTCTGACATTCTCCAAACCGTGCACTGACACTGTTAGACAGACCACGTAGGTCTGATGATTTAAACAAATTTTAGCTGTTGATTTATGAAACTGCGTTCTAAACAGTCCTCGATTAAGCTGAACTTTTCATCCAAACTTTATAATAAATTTTTATGAACAGCACCAAGAAGGCCGAAAGCTAACAGTGGAAAAACATTTCTTTCATCAAGTCGACTCTCTTATAGAGAAATCCTGAGGCACACTGATTGCGTAAAACCGTGGTTTAGGTTAAAAATCATGTTAAGGACCGGCCCTTACTGATTTTTTTTTTCCATGATCATTTGCCAATGAAATTACCTTTAGTGTGTGTTCGCTAGGTCATAGTCAAAGCCCAATCTAATGGCTCTCGGAAGAGACATTTTCAACAGAGTTAAAAGTAATCCGGGATTACACTGGTTTTGCTTAACTTTGCTCTGTGATTGGTCCTCAAAACTCGCGCCACTCCCTCAACCAATCAGATGCAAAACCAACATCAATCACGACTTGGTCACCCGCGCTTTCCCGCGCTTTCCCGCGCTTTCCCGCGCTTTAGGCGGTATTTTTCTTTCTGCTCATTGGCTGTTGTAGTTAGTTTAGTTTTGGTCTTACCGCACTCAATCGAAAAGCGCTCGATCAAGTTCAACTTGTAAACTAAAATGTAATGATTTAAAATACTAACTCCATTCGTCTGGATCATCGTTTCAGGGAGGAAATTAACCGAGCCTATCGAAGGTTGGCCATCTTAATACACCCAGACAAAAGTTTGGCGCCAGGAACCGAGGAGGCCTTCAAGGCGTTGGTGAATGCCCGTGCTGCTCTACTACAGTCTCACAGATAACACTGAACAAGAGATAGGCGATGGTGTCGATGATGTCGCTGGCTTTTTTCAATGACATCATCGATGACGTCGCCGATGAAACTTTCACTTCTTTGTGCACTATGATGTTACCAGTCTATTCTTCTTAAACCTTTCACTCTCAAGATCTCATTAGTAATTTTCCCCTTACTGTCTGCCATCCGATTCATACGATGTTAATTGGGAGAATAAAGTATTGGATCAACGGATGATCCCCTAATTAGCATTTTTTCTTTATTCTCATCACTTGTCAGATATAGTATTGATATTTTAGGAGAAATTCTGTCTTGGTCACTCTTAGCAGTTAGTGGGTAAAAGCCCCTCAAACCAAGTAAGTTTTGATGAAAGGGTGATGACAAAGCTTTACTAAAAAGTGGAAAATATTGCCGTGACAATGACCCCATGAATGCTTTTACTGCTCCTTTCATTCGAGATTTCTTTGTTCGTATCTTGTTTCGGCGTTAGGCTTGAAATCAATAACATTTCGGCTTTAAAAACAATTGGATTAATCATATAGACGACAGGATTAACTAACTTAAACAAGAAATCGTGTTTCAATCCATGTAAATACTGTGAAAAATAATTTGACAAACTGACCTGGATATGTGGTCTTAAATTTTCTTTGCTACTGTGCGATGTTAAGGCAAAGATCTGTTTGTAAAACAATTAAAAAAAAACAAACCAAAAAAAAAAAAGAGAAAACAAGAAACACTTATTTTCAACGTCTCCCAATTTTACAGATAAAGGTGGCTTGAAATAGGTTTCCGAGACACCTACTGACTATATTCAAAGCGCTAAAAAAAAAAACTTTCCTCTTCGCAGTCGAACTAGTTTCACACATTTGTTAACCAATGGATTTAATTTTGAAATGGCAAGCGTCTTATGGCAATCCCTGTTATGATGCGAACGTTATCTGGAAATCCCGTGAAACAGTTTTTGGAGTAGAGCTTGGAAAATCCTCGATAGATTTTCTCACAGCTTCACGAATACCTTTTTTGAGACAATGCCTGTTGAGTGAATTTCCACAAACTTAAGTGATATTGCCTAATTTCCAAACCTCACCTCTACAAAGATGAAATCATTCGTTCAAAAATCAATTCAAGATAAGCGAGTTTTTAGCAGTTACTTGTTTACATGAAGATGTTATTCAGTGAGTGACTTAGGCATAGTCGGAGAAACAAAACAAAGAACTCCGAGTGCGTTGACATTATTCCCTTCATTTCTATTGATGATCAAGAAGATTACAGACTATGAAAAATTGTGGCCGATTTGTCGATATGGCGATTGAAGTGAAGGAATATGTAGTTCAGTGAATGATACAAAATGCTCGGAGAAAATAAAATTGCCAGTGCTCCCAATGAGAGCCAAACTTACAACCTTCTAGTCGGTAGTCATCCGCTCTACCACGGAGGGCTATAGGAGACTCATGGCGAGCTAAGCCGTTTAATTAGGTCCATGGTCTCAAACTTCCCGCTTACTGCAAAGATAGGAATATCGATACGTGATGCTCACGTAGAACGATGATGTTAATGAAGATGATAAACTTCAAACCGGGGATTTTTGGAGTGAGTGAAGATGTTATTTCGAAAAGAACAAACATACTCCGAGAAAAAAGCTCTGAGTGATTCTAGGAGTCGATCTCTTGACCTTCCGATGACTTCTCCGAATACTCCACCACTGAGCTAACGAGGTCCATTGTGATAAGTTGCTGCATACTGCGAGGGTAGCAGGCCTGGCGAGTTAGGTCAAGAAAAGATGATTCAATGAATGACACAGGCGTACTAGGAGAAATGTAACCAATTTCAAAAAATTTAGAACGAAATTTATCTTTCAAATCAGCTTCCTTGCTCACCACTGTCAATGCAATGAAGGCTTTACATTCAACTGGTTCATTCATTTGTTTTTCGCATTACTTCGTTCCCAGCAACAGCCCAGTTATATTTTTTCTGTATTTAAACCAAATACAAGCCAAAATTCCTCTCTTCGCTCTGATGAAGGGCTAACACTCAAAACTTTAGCTTTAGAAACTCTTTAGGTAGCCAATCTACTTAGTTGATAAAAATAAATTGTGTTACAATTCACCACATGGCCAAGATTGTAGATTACGGAAGTTTGATTCACTTTCGTTCGAAACCTCCTGCTGCAATAAACTACACCATTTATCCTGTAGCCATTTTTGAACTTCCTTTTTTAAATATTAAAGAAGTATTGTGAGCTACTGTACGTTACTACGCGACAGGGAATTTATGGCTGAAACATTAGCTGAATACTGGTATTCCCTAGAGGAATATCGATCGGAACGAGAAAATTATGATGGACGTTAAAAAATTGACTCCTGAAAAAAAGTTTGAAGTAGGGAGACAATTCTGTTAAAAAAACACCAATATAATAACGTGCTTATCAAGGAAGCTCAATTCCTGTTATTTGACAAAATTTGTCATTGAATAATATTCAGCTGATTGTACGACGTATGACATCACAGTTAGTGTGGATAAGGACATGATTGCGACTGCAATTTGATGTTAACAAGCACGAGTAAATTTTTCAAAGACAACAAAGTTGCGAGAGCCCGTAGGGCTAGTGCAATTTTTGGTCCTTGAAAAATTTACTAGTGATTATTTACCCAAAGGGAATAGTTTCTTGTTTACACCAAATTACGTGAGAGATCATGTTACTTGTTAATAATTTACATTGACAAGCATCCCAGAGAGTAGAGACAGACGAAATTTTGTCAGCGCGCGCGATTTGTAATTTTCATTCGTGTTACATGAAAAATGCACTCGTTTTCATTCAGTCAGACGCACGTTATGTTTTCTGTGTCGGCAGGTTATTGCTGATGGACAAGTGAAGTTCCTCAAGTCGCTATGGTTTCCTTAGGCCATTTCAGCTGAACAAGTAAACTTCCTCTCGTCGTTATGATTCTGATTACTTCTTCGAATACTCCAACACTGAGCTATAGGAGACTCGTTTAATTAAGTCAGTGGAGACAAACTTCCAGCATTTATACTGCGTGGTAGGAATGTTAATATGTGGTGCTTACGTCCATGATAATTTAAAGGAAGAGGATAGATTTTCAAGCCTGGTGATTTACGTAAAGGAAGATTTTATCAAGTAAATTACAAAGGAATATTTGAAAAAAAAAAAAAAAAAAAAAAAAAAAAAAAGAAACTCCGTGTGCTAGCAATAGGTAGGAACCCACAACCCTCCGATCAGTACTTCAGACTCTCACCATTGAGCTTTAGAAGACTTGTGTCAAACAAAGCTGTGTCACGAGGTCCACTGTAATAGATTGCTGCATACTGCGAGGATAGCAGGCCTGGCGAGTTAGGTCAAGAAAAGATGATTCAATGAATGACACAGGCGTACTAGGAGAAACGTAACCAATCTCAAAAAATTTAGAACGAAATTTATCTTTCAAATCGGCTTTCTTGCTCCCCACTGTGTCAATGCAACGAAGGCTTTACATTCAACTGGTTCATTCTTTTGTTTTTCACATTACTTCGTTCCCATCAACAGCCCAGTTATATTTTTTCTGTATTTAAACCAAATACAAGCCAAAATTCCTCTCTTCGCTCTGATGAAGGGCTAACACTCAAAACTTTAGCTTTAGAAACTCTTTAGGTAGCCAATCTACTTAGTTGATAAAAATAAATTGTGTTGCAATCCACCACAAGACCAAGATTGTCAATTACGGACGTTGATTCATCTTTCGTTCGAAACCTCCTGCTGCAATAAACTATACCTGTAGCCATTTTAGAACTTCCTTTTTTAAATATTAAAGAAGTATTGTGAGCTACTGTACATTACTACGCGACAGGGAATTTATGGCTGAAACATTAGCTGAATACTGGTATTTCCTAGAGGAATATCGATCGGAACGAGAAAATTATGATGGACGTTAAAAAATTGACTCCTGAAAAAAAGTTTGAAGTAGGGAGACAATTCTGTTAAAAAAAAACGCCAAATTGCGTGAAAGATCATGTTACTTGTTAATAATTTACATTGACAAGCATCCCAGAGAGTAAAGACAGACGAAATTTTGTCAGCGCGCGCGATTTGTAATTTTCATTCGTGTTACATGAAAAATGCACTCGTTTTCAGCCAATCAGACGCGTTATGTTTTCTGTGTCGGCAGGTTATTGCTGATGGACAAGTGAAGTTCCTCAAGTCGCTATGGTTTCCTTAGGCCATTTCAGCTGAACAAGTAAACTTCCTCTCGTCGTTATGATTTTCTTAGTCCACTTTAGCCTTTTCTTGCTGATTCTTCATTCAAAGAGTGCTTTAGCCTGTTTAGATGGTAAGTTCTTAGAAGAAGTGTTTCCGCATAATTTATGATTATGTACTCATATGACTTTTACCCTTTTTACAATCTGAACTTCCTTTCCGCATCACTTCACCGTTAGCCAACCAAAACAAAAATTACTCATTTTCGGGAAGGAAGCACTTTACGGTATTTAGTGAATGTAGATTGTTATGTTTACTTTTCATTTATCCTGCACACGATGCATAACAATATTACGCGTATTTTATACATGACATGATTTGAATATCGCTGACATTCAGTAAATTGATACTCAAACTCTTCTCAGAACCCTTAAAAATTGACTGGGGTCGCAGGCATTTTCTCAATAAGCATTTCCATATTCCTGTTTAGACATATTCCCGATTTCTTTAACTTTTCTTATGACATCACAACACCGCGGAGCAGATGGCGCCAACCCTTACCATCAGCTTAGCTTTACCAAACATACCAATTAAGTTGTGCAAAAAAACCGTGGAGAATCGTTACGTGACTCAGCTTCTCAGAATTTCTCGTTGTATTTTTTTTGTTTCATTTCTTTTAAACACCAATCGCGGCCGATTCAAGATTCAAGTCATGAAACGAATTGAATTGTGCAAAAAACCGAAGGTTGCTGCGTTGAGAATCATTACATGACTCAACATTTCAGAATTTCTCGTTGCTTTTTGTTTTATTTCTTTTTCACACTCATCTCGGCTGATACGATAGATTCAAACCATATTAGAGTAAGGCCTCTCATCCTTCATTAATCATTAACTTAATACGTTCAGTCTGAGTTTTGAAATACATGCATGTGTCTCAAGGCAATGGTATCATAGCGATGGCGTAGTGGTGACGTTGGTGACATTGCTGTATTCTAGTTATTTCGTTTATTATCCTCCTAATGTTCAAAATTATTTCAGGTAACTGCCGAATATTAGCATTTCCATCCTCGTTATTCTTCGAGGGGGAACGTCTCGTTAACCACACCGTAGCAACCATCAGTGTGATTGACAGGGATACGTGTGAGTTTCGTTGTTACTTGGAACACAACTGTGTCAGTATCAACTTTAATGTTCAACCGAAAGAGCCTGAGACAGAAAACTGTGAACTAAACAACTCAACCAGTCAAGAACATGAGAAGGACCTGATCAAGGCAGCAAATTATGTTTACCATGGAACGAATGTAAGAACATTTTACAAAGAGTTAACGAGAAACATGTTTCACATTACGGATAAAATCGATTGGAGGAAAAAAACAAACCTAAAGACAAATAAAGTAACAAAGCAATTTTGCTGATGAGTAGTGCTTTCATCTTCCCTCTTTAGAATGCTTGTGGTAATTCACCTTGCAAGAACAATGCAACCTGTCAATCAGGTTTTACCAGTCAACGATATCGCTGCTTATGCTCTCCCGGATTTACTGGCCACAACTGTGATCACGGTAGGAAATTATTACTTCTGTTTTCCTTTTAAGGACACAATTAAACTTGTTTGATCAGATTAAACAAATTTTGTCCTTATGATGAGTACAGTCGCTGCAATTGAAACTCGGATGGAGTCTTAGGGAAAGTAATCGGTTGAGGACGTGGACGAGGAGGAAATGGGTACGGGAATGGGTAAATGGAAAAGGAAGTGGACGATTACCATTCAAGCATCAAGATTTGTCACATTTTTAAACGAGATTAATCGATGGCTGTCGAATAACGAACTCGCAAATTCGTTAAAGGGATTTTTTTTCGGTCAGGAGAAATTTCACCTCTTTTCACCGGTAAATCACAAGTCTACCACTAAATTTCTCTTTCTTCCTAGCTTTCATCCAATTATTGCCTGCGACAAGAGTAGCAGAGTTGTAATGGTATTCAAGGATTTAGGTTGTTTATTTTTCTTTATTCGTAGACAAGTGTAACAGCAATCCATGTCGGAACCAAGGATCCTGTAAGGACGGTAAATGCCAATGTCAGCCTGGATTTTCCGGAGAACTTTGCGAAATAGGTTAGTCATACCTTATCATTCTCAGATGTATTTTTACTCTGAAATCGTATATTAAACCGCCTCTATGAAGACAAAGACAATTATGTGGTCATTTTTCTCAGAAGTTTGAGGTATATAAATGGCGTTCAATGAATAAGTAAATATTAAACAATTATCCTCACATTTTCAAAGGAGAATAATCGATGGCTGTCCAATAACGATCTCGCAAATTCATTAAAGGGATTTTATTCGGCTAGGTGAAATTTTATCTCTTTCCACCGGTAAATCACAGGGCCACTAAATTTCTCTTTCTTCCATAGCTTTCATCGAATAAGTGACTGCTACAAGAGTAGCAGAAATGTAACGGTGTTTAATGACTTAGGTTGTTTATTTTTCTTTATTCGTAGATAAGTGTAACAGCAATCCATGTGAGAACCAAGGATCCTGTATGGACGGTAAATGCCAATGTCGGCTTGGATTTTCCGGAGAACTTTGCGAAATAGGTTAGTGGCATCTTACTATCATCAGATGTATTTTTACTCTGAAATCGTATCTTACACCGCCTTTAGGAAGACAAAGATAATTGTGAAAAGATAGAGGGGCCGCAGCCAGGATAAAACATCTTATGAAATTTAAAAAACGATCTCTGGCTAAAACTTTTAAAAATACGAGCTTTCGGCTGTTTGCGCTACAGCCTTCAACGGGTAAAATGATAAAAAGGTAAAAAATACCAGGTGTGAAGTACAGAGTAAAAATTAAAAATGCTGATAACTAAGAATGTTTGTTAAAAAGAATGTTGTATCGTCCGGGCAAAGGACAGGAATTGTTGTCCGCATTGGGAGTTAACTTGGAATGCCACGCTTCTAGTATTTTTCTTGTTCTGAAACCGCTTTTGTCAATAATAGATCATTGTTCACCGCGATCCTTGTTGACAAAGCATGTGATTACATCAAGATCAAACTGGAACAGGACGCCTCTCTTCCATCCAGAACAAATTTGGACATCAATGACATAATATCACTCCTCCAATTTACCCTGTCCAACAACTATTTTATGTTCAATGACAGAATCTATAAACAAGTACACGGATGCGCTATGGGCAGTCCAGTTAGCCCTGTAGTGGCCAATCTCTGTATGGAAGAAATCGAGGAAAGTGCGGTTAACAGTTCATCCGTCCCTCCTAAAATCTGGAAACGTTATGTCGATGACAGCTTCTGCATCATCAAAAGAGACAATGTGCCAGCTTTCCATGACACATTAAATTCAATTGAGGCCAACATCTCTTTCACCATCGAAATTGAAAGTGACAATAAGATCTCCTTTCTCGACACTTTGGTCACCCGTAGAAATGGTACCATCGCTGTCGATGTTTACAGAAAGCCTACGCACACAGACAGATATCTAGATTACAATTCTCACCATGATAATAAACACAAGGCCAGCACAGCAGCAACTCTTCTACACAGAGCCCTAAAGCTACCCAACTCCTCCGAAGGAAAAGAACGAGAACTTAACCGAGTTTATTCAGCACTTGAATCTAATTGTTATCCATCGAATTTCATTAAAAACATCCAGGCCAACAAAACCCAACGCTCAACAGTGTTGTCCCCGGATGAACTTGTTGGAACATTTTTCAAGATGGTCGAGGCGTCCGAATCACGCAAGTCGTTCGCCTCTCTTCCATACATTAAAGGCGTAACAGAACCTCTGACTCGTGTCCTCAAAAAACACGACATCACAGTGGTGAACAAACCACTCATCACCCTTCAACAACAGTTCCCGGCCCCAAAATTTCGACCATCGTTGGAATCGCAAACAAATGTTGTTTATAAAATTCCTTGTGGTGACTGTTCATGGTGTTATATTGGTGAGACTGGCAGGGCCTTCAACACAAGAAAGAAAGAACACCTCAGAAATGTGAAAACCGCGGCAAAAGGCTCAAGAATTGCCAATCACGTCTGGGCCAATAGTCACGCAATAGACTTTGATAACGCGTCTATTATTGACAAAAGCGGTTTCAGAACAAGAAAAATACTAGAAGCGTGGCATTCCAAGTTAACTCCCAATGCGGACAACAATTCCTGTCCTTTGCCCGGACGATACAACATTCTTTTTAACAAACATTCTTAGTTATCAGCATTTTTAATTTTTACTCTGTACTTCACACCTGGTATTTTTTACCTTTTTATCATTTTACCCGTTGAAGGCTGTAGCGCAAACAGCCGAAAGCTCGTATTTTTAAAAGTTTTAGCCAGAGATCGTTTTTTAAATTTCACAAAGATAATTATTTGGTTTTTTTTCCTAGAAGCATGAGGTATATAAATGGCGTTCAATGCATAAGTAGATGTCAACCAATTATCCTTACATTTTCAAAGGAGAATAATCGATGGCTGTCCAATAATGAACTGGCAAATTTATTAAAGGGATTTTATTCGGTTAGGTGAAATTTTATCTCTTTCCACCGGTAAATCACAGGGCCACTAAATTTCTCTTTCTTCCATAGCTTTCATCGAATAAGTGACTGCTACAAGAGTAGCAGAAATGTAACGGTATTTAAGGACTTGGGTTGTTCATTTTTCTTTAGAGGTAGATAAGTGTAACAGCAATCCATGTCAGAACCAAGGATCCTGTATGGATGGTAAATGCCAATGTCGGCCTGGATTTTCCGGAGAACTTTGCGAAATAGGTTAGTCACATCTTATTATCATCAGATGTATTTTTAATCTGAAATCGTATCTCAAACCGCCTCTTTGAAGGCAAAGACAACGATGTGGTAATTTTTCCCAGAAGTATGAGGTATGTTAATGGCGTTCAATGCATAAGTAGATGTCAACCAATTATCCTCCTATTTTCAAACGAAAGTAATCGATGTGTGTGCAATAACGAACTCGCAAATTCATTAAAGGAATTTCATTGGGCCAGGTGAAATTTCATCTCTTTCAACCGGTAAATAACAAGTCTACTAAATTTCTCTTTCTTCCATAGCCGTCATCGAATAATTGACTGCTACAAGAGTCGCAGAAATGTAACGGTGTTTTAGGACGTAGGTTGTTTATTTTTCTTTAGAGGTAGATAAGTGTAACAGCAATACATGTCAGAACCAAGGATCCTGTAAGGACGGTAAATGCCAATGTCAGCCTGGATTTTCCGGAGAACTTTGCGAAATAGGTTAGTCTCATCACATCATCATCACATTATCACACTTTACGACAGTCTGTTTGGCATTGATGATGATGATACTTAGGTCACCCTCGTACTTAACAATAAAATAAATATGTATAGAAAAACACACACTATTTTAAGAGCGTGTTGTAGCCTTCTGTTTCAACATAGTTTCTGCCAGAAGCAAAAAAGAAGGAAAAGAAAATTAGGCTTAACATAATTCGGAAGATTATTGCAACAGAAAGAGAAGTTTATACCTATATGCAAGAGATCGAAGGCGAAATACGATGAGTAAAGGTATTAGAATTGACCAGTGACCGGATTTTCATTTAATGTAAGTCGAATGCCTTATACACATGTGAGGCAAACTTCTGATCAGATGGCCTTTTTAAGCCCCTAACAATGCTGCTTTTTGTTAGGTTTAACCGATCAGTGTGACAGCAATCCATGTCAGAATAACAGCATCTGTGTTGGTGGTAAATGCGAATGCCTTCCCGGATACTCTGGAGAAAACTGCAAAGAAGGTACGTTTGTTATTATAAAACGTATCAATGAGTGAGAGAACTTGGATTTGTTAATCATGGCTTGTTGGATATTACGTGATGTATATATATATATATATATATATATATACGTTTTGGTGAATGAATAGGTTATCGGCGAAATATCATATATTTTCTTTGTCTAGTTAGAAATAAATATATATATCAGATGAATTATCGACATCCAGCCCTCTGTGGCATGAGTGATAAGCAAATTGTTTCGTAGCAAGGTATTTTGATACGCCTTTAGAGTCAAATATTATCTTAACTAGGATCTCAAACCTTAGAATTTTGCGGTCTGATGCCCCAGTACTGAGCCACAAGCTAGATTTATTGCGAAATACAAGCACAGATCGATATATATATATATATATTCTCGTTTTATTGAAGCACTAGACCGCACTTTCTATCGGTTTACCGGCGTAACAACCGCGGGAGAATACAAGAAAAAGTTTGTAAATAATGAGCCATAGGCGAGTGATTTGTACAGACTTTTTAAGCGCGATCTACCAGATTGTTGAACTAAACGACAGGTTTTAGACCAATCAGGGCATTCGTAGTATTACGAATGAACGAAGAAATAAATACATATGATATATATACATATATATATATATATATACATATATATATATATATATATATATATATATATATCACCCAATTTAAAAAACGTTGCAATTTGAAAACATACATCAGATATACATACCTGTTCTTTTCTATATATATATATATATATATACATCGTCCAGCTAATGTTGCTCCTGAGTTTAAACCATTTACAGTTGAGGTTCAGTGGTTATTGCTATTATTAAAATTAATGCTGGCGGCAAGACTTAAGTGTGCACATTTTTGTTTTAACGTTTCTCAGATGTCGATGAATGTGCCAGAGGTGGACACTCTTGCCACAGTTCAGCCTCATGTATCAACACTATTGGATCCTACATATGTTCCTGTAACAATTTTACAGCGGGAGATGGAAAAACTTGCAGCCGAACATCAGGTTAGTTCCTTTTGTCTGATAGCTACCCTGCCTTCTCTTATGACTGTTAGAAACTATTCCCTCCTTGAAAATACATTTGGGATTGAAAGAGTTTTCGATAAAACTCTACTGGCAGACTGCACTTAGCCTAGTTTAACCTGTTTTGCTTCTCTCTGACACAGAGTGTCAAAACTATAGGAATCTGATTAATGGTAGCAGGAAGATCACATCCGGTTATGGCCGGCACTGTGACCGGAGACTTTCCGGTTGGTATCGTTTTAGTGGGGCAGCAGGCACAAGAATGGCTACTTCATGTCCGCCTTTTAAGAGATGTGGCAGTACTGCAACCGGGTGGTTGAGAGGCCGACATCCCGAATTGGCTGATGGACAGGTCCGCAGGTGGGTCTGCTTTCGCTGGTATTCATTCTGCTGTTGGTGGTCTCGGTTCATCAGAGTGAGAAACTGCGGCGCCTATTATGTTTATTACCTACGCGGCACACCCGCTTGCAACCTCCGTTACTGCAGCACTGACTAAATCCACAAGAAGTGAAGCGTTTTCTTAGAGAGAGAATACTAAAACCTACCTTTGCAGTTTAAGTGTTTAAAAAGTAAAATGAGCATTTATGACCAGGAAGTCTTAAAAGTTCTCCTTTCCCCAACTTATCCACCCAGAATTAAAATTAAAGTCATTCAAATAATGATTAAAATCATAGTCATTCGAATAATCTGCTTTAGATATGTACAAGCTTCGCAGGTCGGTAAATCTCACCCCTCAGTCCCGAAGAAATAAAAATGCAAATCAAGGCCCTAGAAGATTTCAAGCCACCTTGAAAATGGCTTTAGTTATTTTAATACTGTGAGGTAGTTAGCTAGCACTTTCGGTACTACTCCTATTAATTTTTTTGTAAATCGATATCCCTAACAGTGGTTTGAAAACTTTGCCGAGTTATACATTTTAACGCAAAGTGTAGTCTCGATACTGCAATAAAAGTAGTGTTAAAATGAGTATTAAAACCCCTCCCTTAAATTCAATTTTATTTTGGAGGGCCACATTCAGCTAGTCTTTGATTATCACGTATTTATTGTTGTTTCAGAAAGTCATAACATATTTATCAGCTAGAGGAGACATAAGTTCGTAAACATGCAATGTGACTGATATGATTATCATGATAAACACCAGATGATGAGTTTCGAGTTTGCCTTTCGTAAGAAATGCCAGGCAAGGCCAGTTATACAGGCAAAATTGTGAATAAATCAACTAGAATCTTTCAAAACACGAATAATTCTTTTTCGTGAGTCTCCTACAGTGTGTACATGCGAAATTTAAGAGTTTACGTGCTTGTTTTATTTAAGGCCATTTTCGAGATGCATAAAGCGTCTATTTTACCAGGTTCATGGAAAACCTTTGATGTGAAAATGATTTCTTTCGTAATATTGAATGTTTCTGTAACTATAATACTAACACTTATTTCTTAGCAATACTGATTCCTCACTTGTTTTAAATTAACAGTGTTCCTTTGGTGAATAATTTTAAGTTACACCGCTATAGGATCTTACGTAGATATTGGCTGCCAAATTACAGCGGAAGACGAAATTATACAGATGACGCCGTTTCCAGTTTATTCAAGGTGTTTTCTAAGTAAAGTTAGAGCCAAATGTTCCCTCGGCATGAATATAGAGTAAGAAACTTCAGAAAAAATACTTATTTAACCAAAAGGACACAGTTGACTGAACAAGAAGTTGATATTTTAATTGAACAGCAAAGAAACCTAACGAACTCGGGCGGACATCGCCCGAGTTCTTTAAGTTCTTTAAGAACCACCTCGCTCAGAGGAAAGAGTTGTGACCGTCATTTCTGGCGCAACCAATGGCATTGCTGATTTTCAGTTGCGTTAGTCATCAACGTCCTCACTTTAATCTGTAAATTTTGAGTTGTTTGAATTAAATAAACTTTAGGGAGGGAATAAAATGCTCCTTAATGCTTCCTTCTTTCACAAGAGACTCATATGATCATCCTTCCCGTGTTAAAGAGCCTCCTATATTTTCCTGTGAACCTGGTTATATTGAGTCAAACCTCTCTTAATGATTTGACCCTGGAAATTATTGCTACCCCTTAAGGCCTGAGGACTGGTAACTCAATGGGCGCAAATCTAGGAGCTTGTTGGAGGTAGTGGGGAGTCCCACGGAAGGGAACTTGAGAATTAGAACCTATAAAACATAGTTACAAGCCCTTACGAAGAGAATTAGGTTCTCTTGTTATTGTGTGATCTTCATCCCATACAATCTTTTCGCTCCCAAATAAACATACCTTTAATATTAATCTATTCCACTGACTGAGATGCAGATTAACAGGGTTAGTTAATGGACAATTGAAATATTCTGATATTGAGTGTGAAGAGGCATGGGCTTGCTTAAATTGAGACATTTTAATTTATTCAGCACTCGATTTAGTACTCTTTTGATGTGCACGTGAAGAAGAAGTAAATTCGTAAAATGCGGAAAAACGACCTCTAAGAAAAAATTTACTACAGTAAGGCTGGAGAAATAAATGTAAAGATACGATGAGACCAAACTTATCAAATGCTGAGGATATGTGCGAAACACGAAACATTCGCAGGGAAGAGGTTTACATAGCGGAAAAAATAAAAACACTCAATGCCGGAAGGCATTTTATAAGGCCGTGTAATTTAGCTCCACCTTAAGTGATGAAATAATGATGCACAAATAATGAGTGAAAAAACGAAAAGATTAACGTAAATTAATGGGTGCGAAAACTATAAGACTTAAATATAAAAGAAATCAACAAATCACAAATTCGCGACAACAGAATGTTTTATTTTAAGCAGATAGCCACAAAAGGCTTCTGAAATTCGATGCATTGACATTTAGTTGCGAGTTAGGGCCGTTATCAGTTAAAATTGTTCCACCTGAAGACAGCTGTGTGTAAGTTCAGCCAACATTTAATGCAGATATATTTTCATTTCTCAGAGAGGCCGGTACGTCAATATTTGTGAAATGATTTACTTGACGCTCTTTCAATGCAGCCAGCTTACTCGCTCTTTTTCCCCTCTTCCGCAAAATTCGAGAAGTTGCGCAAGGAATTACAAAAATGAAGAAATCTCTCTCCAATGCTGTAATAACCGTTTGAAAAATGGCATGTTTTAAATACCTTAGCACTATATCTGACCAAGATATAACTTGCATCTGCCTACAGGGTCACATTAGCGGGAAGATAAAGAAGATAAATTTCCACGGAATGTAAACCGCACAAACGACTACTTTGTTGGAACTGCAAATAAAACAACTTTCCCATGGGGCATAATTAAATAACAGCTTATCAACAACAGTCCTATTGGCTGAAAACTGATGCGTATGACGTTCACCTTCAAACCAGTCATAGCTATTGATTGAGTACGTGCGAATCAACTTATTGGAGCTAATTAAGACTTGAAGTTCCTCAAATTTGCAACAATTTCCCCCGCAGCTTCCCTTAGAGAGCAAGATTTCACGCAAATGGGTTTTCTCCTCCACTTTGTTTTTTTCTTGCCGATTAAGAATGTTTTTATCTTGTTTGGATGGTGAGGATATGTCACTTTGCCTTTACGTAGCTTTTATTACGAGTTGTCATTTTATACTATTTATTTGCTCTCCTATTCCAATTGTTACCCCTGTAAATTTTACTTTTTTATTTTCTCCTTTACGTTTATCTTTTAATGTTGAAGATCTCTGTTGTTTTGAAGCGAGGAAAATCTTCCGCTTTTCAGTGCAGAAATCAATTCCCATGCGAGTACTCAGGGGAGTATGTCGCAAGTTTCGATCAATTTGGAAGCAATATTCTAATTTCTTTTATTTACCTTTCTTGTCCTGAGGCAAAAAACCCAAACTTTACCTCGCAACACATTACCTGAAATTATCTTGACAGTTTATCAAGTATTTTTTCAAGTTAGATTATATCCGGTTAAAGCAAAGTTATAGCACGCATATGCAACGAGCTGTACAATAAACCTCCTAACCGAGTTTTGGGGGAAAGAGATCATCCCTAGCTTATACTGGCCTCACGACTGGGCTTTATTTCGATTCTGAATTCTTTTTATTCATCAATCCTTAATCTATTATACTTTAGCTCAATTCATGTTCTTTTATTTTAGTGTCAGAATAACTCTAACTAGGGGTGATAATCACGTTTAAACTTTATACCGGCTTTTAGAGCATTCATTATTTGTAAAATTAACATATTAGCCAAATTGTTTGGCAGCATGACAGAATTGTCAAAACACCGTGAAGGAGTATCGCCCTTCAATTCATATTAAAAAGAAAAACGATATTAACAACAATAATAACACATTTTACATTGCCATAGTTTGAATAACATGGATCATATCGCCTATTTTAAACAGAATTTCTTATTTCATGATCTGAAAGAGCCTGGAAACATATACTCAAACGTTCATATAAAAAAGGTGTTTCATAAATATCAAGAACATCCACAATCCTCCTCGGATCAGTGTTGTGGTTTCAAAAGTTTCCTCTATTTTAGATCAATGCCGTATATTGGCATTTCCATCCACTTTGTTCTTCGTGGGAGAACGTCTCGTAAACCACACCATAGCAAACATCAATGTGATTGACAGGGACACGTGTGAATATAGATGCTACCTGAACCATAACTGCATCAGTGTCAACTTTTATTTTGGACCAAGTGAAGCAGGAATACAAAACTGTGAACTGAACAACTCGACAAAAAAGAAACACGATAAGGATCTGACGAAGGCAGCGAACTATGTGTACCATGGAACACAAGTAAGGATAAATTATCTTTTAGCAATAATTTTAATTCATCCAAAGCTCAAATGGAAATTTTTACGTTTATTAATGCATTTACCTTTGTCACAGTGTTTACTATGTTGGAAAATTATTTCCATGACGCCACCACAGCATTATTATTACCTATTTATTCATCATTTTATTTCTTTACGCAGTGAAAACATTTAGTTATTTATACTTTCACGCGATTACTTATTATCTCACTCTTTCATTTATTTTTTTATTTATCTTTTTTGCACTTATCTTTATGACGCTGTTCACTGCATTGAAATCAAATGAAGAGATTCCCTCGGTCTAGCAAAAATATTCCGTAGAATAATGATACCACATCATATTTTTATTTTTTGACCAAATGACTTACCTCTTTTTTAATTCTTTACATATTCAAACCTTGTTTACTTACCTATTTAAGGAATACCTGTCAACTCAATATTTTATTTTTCTGTTTGGTTCACTGATTTTTTCTTATCATTTTCAGAATGCTTGTGATCGTGCTCACTGCATCAACAACGCCATTTGTCAATCTGGTTTTACAAGTAAGGGATATCGATGCGTGTGTTCTTTTGGATTTACAGGACCCCATTGTGAACAAGGTGAGACATAAAAATGTGTACATACACTGTATCAGTTTTTATCTACAACAAAAATAATTTGTGATCCCTATTTCAGAATCAATTTGTGTAATCGATGTTTAGGGAGAACACGCCCATA